TATCCCAATGGCCAATCTTGGAAATCTTAATCATTGGAAATGAATCTCCTCGTTCTTCCTTTGCAAACTTTTTTTTTGTGGGGTGGGAAGTCGGGAAGGGAATTTCCAACTATATGTATGTGTGTGTGCGTGTGTTTTTTGCAGATTCAACCAACTTACTGTCTTTACCCATTCTCCCCCCCCCCCCCCCCCCACCTCTCCCCTCTCCCCCCTCCCACCGCCGACACACTTTTTTTTTCTGGAATCGTGAGAAGTCGCATCGCATTTGCGAGAAAAAAAAACGCGTTGGGAATGTTCACTCTCAACTGCAAAAAGTTTGAAGGCAGCCCAAGTCCTGCTGATCCACTGGCAGTCAGTTGGACCAGGATTCTGTGCTGTCAACGAACCAGGATCTTGTGCTCTGTGTAAATATTGTGTTGATTGGGATGGGAGGGGTGGGTGTGGGAGGGGGGGGTCGGCGAGGGCTGCCTTAACTCTTCTTTGCCAAAATGCGACCGTCTGCTACCTTTGCCCAACACGTCCTCAGTTCCCCCCTCACCCCTACCTGCCTCTCCACCCGAGATAGAAAGTGGGAAGCGTTGCAGAAAATCTCAGACAAAAGGCCCTGTCAGGAAGAGCGCATTTCCCAGCGTTGACCTGGTATCGGAGGCTAAAGAAGTCATCTGCATTTCTATTCTTGCTCAGCTTGTATGTGGAAGTAGAGTCCAAATGGTCACTGCCTTGATGAGTCTGCTCTCTGTACAAAGTGGGGAGCGACCTCTCAGACACTGTGTGTGTGTGTGAGTGAGTGAGTGAGTGAGTGTCTATATGTGAATGGAGTCTGTGGTCAGGAGACTGGGGTGAAGGTCAAAGCCTCTGTCACATCTGCGGGTGGGTTCATTTCCTCTCTGACCAAACCGTTCACTCCTGAATAAAACCCCAACTCAACAACAACAACAACAACAACAGTTCATTTCCTCTCTGACCAAACCGTTCACTCCTGAATAAAACCCAAACTCAACAACAACAACAACAGTTCATTTCCTCTCTGACCAAACCGTTCACTCCTGAATAAAACCCAAACTCAACAACAACAACAACAGTTCATTTCCTCTCTGACCAAACCGTTCACTTCTGAATAAAACCCAAACTCAACAACAACAACAACAACAGTTCATTTCCTCTCTGACCAAACCGTTCACTTCTGAATAAAACCCCAACTCAACAACAACAACAACAGTTCATTTCCTCTCTGACCAAACCGTTCACTTCTGAATAAAACCCCAACTCAACAACAACAACAACAACAGTTCATTTCCTCTCTGACCAAACCGTTCACTTCTGAATAAAACCCAAACTCAACAACAACAACAACAACAACAACAGTTCATTTCCTCTCTGACCAAACCGTTCACTTCTGAATAAAACCCAAACTCAACAACAACAACAAACAACAACGACAACAACAACACTCCCCAGCTGACACACTTTCCTACCAAACAATTTTTTTAATGACCAATTTTTTTAAACCCCCCCCTCCCGCCCCACCAACCTCTCTCTTCCCCAAACACATCCACCCCCCCCCCGCCACCCCAACAACAAAAAAAAAGAAGTGCAATGGCCAACTAAAAAGGGATTTATTTTTTTTTGCTCCCAGTGACTTTACAATCAGCTCATGCAAATGGCGCTTTGTAGAAAATGGTTTGACAGGAAGCTCTATGGGTCAGACTTGAATACTCTGCATTGACTGGTTGGAGCTTTGCACTTTCAAGATAAAAGGCAAAGTGGGTCGCTCTTACACTTTGAAGCATTAGGGAGAGGGGAGAGGAGCGGGGAGGGGGGGGGAGTGGGTGGTATGTTGTGGGAGAGGAGGGGGAGAGGGAGGGAGGGGTAGAGGGGAGTGGGGGGAGAATGGAAAATGTACATTTTCCTTTTTTTTTTCCTGGGTGTCTCCAGTGGGCTGTGTCTTGAACAACAAAAGCCACCTCCCCCCCCCCCCTTCCCCTTCCCCTTCCCCCCACGGTTTTATTTCATCCATACTTTTTTTTTAATGCTTCCTTGTCTCGACTTGAATATGCAATGAAGCGCCGGCCTCTTTTGTGGCGGAAATATAATTAAAGTGGTGAAAGATGTAAAAAGTGAAGAAAGGGGATGACATCAGGTCGATTTCACACTTGGCACTCGCTTGGCCTGGACCTAGCCGGGTTCTTGCCATGCAACACAGATCAAAGCAACCTGCCATCACCACCAAAAAAAAAAGGGGGCTGAGGGGAAGGGGAGGGGGGGGTGGGGAGGGAGTGGGGGTGGGGAGGGAGTAGGGGGGGGAACTTAAGTATGTTAATCCCCAGGACAAATATATTTTAATCTTGTTAGAATACAAGTTAATGCTGCAGCTCAGAGGCTGAACTTTGTCAGACTGTAGAGAACCACTTTGCTGCAGTCCTGATTGAGGCAGACCTCCTGGTTCAATGATATTGAATTTAGGTAATTTTTTTTTTAAAAAACAAAACCTTCCCTCTATTACAGACCCAGGGCCTGGTCTAAAGAAAAATACCGCCTCCCTCTCCACCCCCCCACCCCCCCCCCCCCACAAACCAACCCCCACCCCCCCACCACTTTCCAAAAATAAAAGCTTGAGCAGCTGTGTCACTGACCTTGTTAAGCTCCCCTGCCAAGACACATAGGATGGGCAGGAAATGAGCATTTATTTATCTGTCCGACTTGCAGATGGCAAAATAAGTCCAATTCCACCAGTTTTGCACCACCTTTCAAACCCCCTGCCACCAGCACAGAAGCTGCGACTAGTTTTAAACCAGGTAGTTAACTTAGTGTCAAACTGGGTAGTGGCTTTGGCTGTGTACACTGGGGGAAAAAATTCGAATTATTCCAAAATGTTTTGTCTCACAAACACACACAAAACATGTGGATAGAGATCAGAGGGAGTTTGCAATTCATAATTTTAAGTCATATCTGACAAACTCAAATCTAACCACCCAACACACCCCACCACCAAAGGCTGGCAAAGGTGGATTTATAAAATAAGAATGTATTAGGATACTCGTGTCCAGAGATAACAAGGCTGTGATCCTTATGTGCGAGACCGGTGATGATAATTTGTCTGGAATCTAACGCAACAAAAAAAATTGTTCTGCTGGAAAATGACCCCGTCACAAGACGTTGCTGGTTACTGCTGGTGAATTTGATCTTTGCATTCAGAGATGTCCGGGGGAAAAAAAAATAAGCATAAAACAGCTCAATCAAATACTTACACACATACCCAAACCTTAAATTACTGGAGCAACCGTCAGGTAATGAATGGTGAGTGTTAAGAACAACAAATACTGCCCGAATTTTCTTAATATTACAATTACATGCTCTCCAAAAAACAAAGGCATGAATCTCAAATGATCTTAGATAATTAAAGAAACCACTACAGATATATATATACACACATATATCTCACAGCCCATTTCTGGATCATTACAAAACAGCGCAAAGGCAATAAAAGTCGCAAGTGAAGCGTTGGCGAGTTGTGCAAATACAATTCGCACTTTTTAAAACATATATATATATATGTGTGTATGTATTTTTAAAAAAAAAACTTGTCACGATTAAAGACGCATTGATGATCAGTGAACAGAAACCAGTCATCAATCCTGCGTCACTTTGCAGTCAGTACCTGTAGGGAAATCGAGGATCCCTTTTGCGCACAGAGAGAGAGAGAGAGAGAGAGAGAGAGAGAAAAATTTAGAATGAAGATCGCGGGACTTTTGTTTTATATATAAAAAAAGAGTTTAAACTTCTTGGATGTGGCCCTACAGCAGGTCGTCGGTGAAATACATCCAACGACAGGAATATGCAGGGAATTCACAGGTCGGAACAAAACGCCTGTGTTCACGAACTCACTTTATCACTCAGGTACAATCAATTGCATTCGCAGCCAAACCGACTGTTACACCGGTCCTGAAACTTCAGTGGCTTTTCCGAAGTCTTTTGGTGATGGACATTTGGGAACCTCGTCAATATATTGTGGGTTAAATTGTGGCTTTATCAAGAGGGGGTGGTGGGGGGAGGGGGGGGGGGGGGGAGAGAGAAAAAAAAAGGATTTGGGCAATGAGAGCGATTCTAAGTTGTAAAGAAATATTAAGAGTAACATCAACACTGCAGTTCACTTAAAGAGAGGACCCTCTCATAAGCCTCAATTTTGAATAACATCACACGCATTGCTGACACTTATGGGGTCTCCCCATGTAATCCACTGAATAATACATACGGAAAGCTCCCCCTTAAATGTTTTTTTTAAAAAAAGAAATACATACATTAAAAAAAAGCAATTGGGACACCAGAAATTGAACTTTTGAGTGTGAACTTTTGATATTGGGAGTAAACTACACTAAAAATAATTCCAAGTCGGAATTTTGCACTAAATTTAATGAAAAGCTATTTAAACGGCTTTGTAAAGAATTCCACTCAGTTGGATATCTGGGAAAAAAAAACTCACTCCAACCATAAAGGGAGGCAACTAAACTGGACAATGTATATTTTGCCTCAAAGATGGAAGGACATCATTCCATCACGGATTACTAATCAACTTATTTACTATTATGATTATGGAACAGTAATTTGCAAATGGTTTAAAGGTTTGAGGTTGAAAACAAGTGAAAAAAAATTGGGGGAGGGAAGGAAAGCCTATTAATCATCACTGCTGAGTTTATTAATAATCATCAGGACTATTTAAAAGGTAATCTAATTAGGAAACATTACATCAAAAACCACCTTGCTTAATTGTAATTTACATGGCTGCTTCCAAAAGAACCCTGAAATAATTACATAATTCCTGCATTTGATACAACGCTTTATCACTTCGTTGAGACGTCTCAAAGTGCTTCAGAATATACTGTAAAGTGAATTGACCGTATATTTTTGTGGTGAAACGCGGCAGCGAATTGCGCACAGATGCTATCTAGATTGAGAAGGTGTGGTGGAAAAGTTCAATAACCGTTAACTGCTGAGTAAAAATCACTTGAATTTGTTTTTATTAAATCAGTAGACAATAACATCAAAGGAGAACCCACCAATTATTAAAGATATAAAAGCACCTCATTTAAATTGCAAGTCGGGCATACAGGTTAGAGAAGAAACCCACAATGCTCACCAATGAGCACCTCATGTGAAGAAAAGGGAACACAAGTCAAATTACTCTCTATTACTTGAGACATTTTTCAGAAGATGAGCACTGATTTCAGCAGGAGTAGTAATTTAATCCAGATGAAACATCTAGTTATAAAATACCTTGGTCTAATAATCGACAAGTTTTATTATGAACCAATGACAAATTTTCTATGAAAAAGACGTAGCTAATATCTGAATACATCTTGATGGGTCAGGGAGAAAAGGTAATCAATGCCAGACATCATTTTTCATCCATAATAAATTCACAAGCTGCTGGTATAGTTGTTCACAATTCTCCCTCCTCCACCCTATGTGCATCAAGTCTGAAGTATTATAGATCAGTGTGAGGACTTGCTTGGGATGGCTCACAAAATTCTGTAAAGAAAACAAAATTGATTCAGTTTTAGATAGAATCAGTTCACTAAAAGTATTCATATTCTGATAACCTAACAAAAACAACAATGTACATTTATATCGTGCCCTTTACATAGTATATCACTTAAATAGCACAACCGTATTAGTGGAAATATATAAATGCATTCGGGGGAAATTGCCATTCACATTAATTTAAAAAGGCTCATCCACTTGCACAAAAAAAAGGAAAGGTATTCCATACATACACAAATTCTGTCAGTTGAGCAACTGAGATCCCATATATACAAAAATGCTATCTCCAGAGATTTGGTTGATAATTTCTCTGCACTGGTATGAAGTAGATTTTCTGCAGTCAGAATGTGTGTGACACAGGTAGGTTGTACTGGCCAAAAACACTGCAGTAAACAATGTGTATTTCATAATAGATAAATATTATCACAAACAAATCTAAAATCAGATTTCTCAAAAGCTTAAAATATTAACAGAAGAAACTTCATTATGGTAAATTGATAAGTCTCAACATACCGAATATTAAAATAATTAATGTGGTTATTTATGAAAAACACAGGGCAAATATTCACCATCTTGTTATAATTATTCCAGAATACCAACATCTGTTAGTAGTATTAAAACAATTGGTATGCTTTTAAAAAAACTCCACCTGTCCTCTAACATATCTACAAATGCCAAAAACCTAGCTACAATTTTCAATCTAGATATAAAAAAACGCTGTATATATTCTGTAATTTTTGCATGAACACAATAGATAGTGACAGATAGACAAGCCCATTGATGTATGTTTAATTGTTTAGTCTATCCAAGGCCCAAGCAATATTTTTTTAAAAATTCAAGTTACGACAGTAGTGATGTGAGGTTGATGTCTTTCTTCCACAGTAAAGTTCATCTTTAAAATTGGATTCTTTAAAAAAAAGTTTCAATTCAACTATGGAACAGTTGACGCATAGTTGTTGCAGAAGCGTTGGTGGCTACTATCAATACTTAAACCTTTACGATGTGTAAAACTAAAAGAGTAACCCTTGAGAAATCAATTTACCTGGGCTTCAAGATCAGACAGGATTTTGATAAATTTGAAATAATCAACACTGGAGAAATAATGTCAAGAGAATATATCTAACCTTCAGATACCGGTTGTAATAGATTAAATATATATCCAAAATGTAAAATAGCATTCGCTGAGTTATTCCAGGAAATAGAAACTTTTGCAGAATGTAAAACAATGTAAGTAAATAGTAATGATTGTTCTCCTCAGCCTTAACAACACCTCTTATCGAGTTTCTGATTGGTTAACTTGGCAGATTAGCTTCATTGTGCAAATCAGAAAGGAAACCCAAAAGGGACAAAAAAAAATCAGTAATCAATCCTGCATCACGACATTTGCCATTTCTGCCTTCAATTATATCTTCCCTTTAAAAAGGTGTGTTTATGGTCTATTGTAGTGAGCTGGTCTTGATCTTCATGTTCAAAATCATTCTGCCCAAGACACAAAATTTGTAAATTGGGATCATCTGTAAACCGGTTTAAGTTTTAAAGGTAGGTTATATCCCCAAGGTGATTCTATCACAGTTTGAAACTAAACATTGGCACAAGTGAGACATTCATGAAATGGCTTCTACGAGGTTGGTGCAGCAAGAACAACATTCGCTGGGTCACAGAAGCACAATCACACATTCAAGTAAATGAAGCACTGGGCTCAAGATAAAAGGCGCAGATAGCCATTTAATATTTGGTGCATTGTTTTCACAATCAGCACCGCCGTTGAAGAAAATTAAAGTTATTAAGGAGTCACTCCAATCAAAAGAAAATTGAGATTTTAGCCACTTATTCCCTGAAGAATTTCGTATCAGTTAAAGGGATTTTCAGCAGGCAGTTTTCCTGAATACTAATGGGGGGGGGTTAGAAATGGTGGGAGACACTTAAGTTAAATGTACAGTATATCCATGTATGCAGTGATCTTCAACCGCTGACTTGATTTGCACAAAAACGCCTCGTTAGGAGCTGAATTTGAGCAGTCCAATAAAAATAATTAGTTAAAATGAACATACATTTAATAGCAGCTCTACAGAAGAAACTCTCGCGAGCAGAAGACTTTAGGCATTTCCATCACATTCAACATCTCTTTGTTTCGTCCTATCCTCCCTCATTAATGCATGGCAACAAGTACACTTTTTTAAAAAACAAAACAAAGTTACATCAGATGCAATACCTGATTTCTCGATGCATAGCATGTCAGCCACCTGGTCCGTCTCATGAGTGAACAGAGAAATTATTTCATCTTCGTACTCTTCCACTATGGTTTCACACTGTGAGACAAGAATAAAAACAGGAATATGTGAGTGCAAAGCAGGCAAATGAGTCATCACGATCATTCCAAAGTTGATAGATGTTTTGTTACCTGCTACCATTTTCTATTTCCTCCCCCATCAATAACTAGAATTATTTTTTGTCGTGCTTGCAAATCAGGTTGAATAAAAAGTTCAACTGATATAAAATTACCACCAGCTAAATACAAATTAAAATGGTGCTCTCTTTCCCTCCCTCCTCTGCCCACCCCTCCCGTTACTAATCTTTGACAAACTTAAAATGATGTGACTGGCACGGATTGTATTACAGAATTTTAAAATGGCACGACCTTAAGTTCTGGTGCCCTCTGCTGTGAAGCTATCTGAACACACTGGAAAGCCTTACCGCAAACTTTAGAGATTTTGAGTTCTCTGGATCAAACTTGAAATTATTGAAATCCACAGAACTCATTTTTTCAGACTCCCTGGGAGCAAATCTCATGTACGTTTTCTTCTGAGTCTCTGGATCCTCATAGAGTGAATAGTCATCCAGGTTTGAACAAACATCTTCTAAGATCTCTGATAAATGGGTTTCCGACCTGGCATACAGAATCTGGAGAAAAGCACACTCATCAATAATGCTGCAATGTTAAATTGTATTTTTAAACAAATTAATACCCATTGATAGGTCTTGTAACTTTCTTTTTTTAAATAAACGCCTTCCTGGCATTTTTTTAAAAAAATACATTAGTCATCACACTGGCCATTTGTGTTTAAGTTTCTAATACAAACAAATGTGAAAACAGGAAATAAATGCATTTAGTTAATTAAGTCAGTGGACTTTTAAGCCTGGGTTTGTTCACATGACTGATCAAGACAACGTTCATTTGCTCACCAGCAGATGTTTAATCCTCACTCAAGGCTCAGAGGGGGTAAAAATAAGGCCCAGAACATCTAACGTCACTCAAGTCTACAGTTTTAGTTTAATTTCCTGGAATCAAAGCTGTTGGATTGTCACCGGTCTCCTCCCCACTGCCCCCAGATTCAGGATAAAACCTAGACAACCCCTAAACTCCCAGAGTGAATTGCCACATAAAGTGCACAAGAGGTTACGTTAGCCTTTCCCCTTGGTAACTGGACAAAAAAAGTTTCATCTGTCTAGACAGGTCAAGGTGCAAGATGCTCTTGCCCCCGTGGCTTTTTCCGGAAGAGTTTCAATTGATGCCAAGTACAGGGTAAACAGCAGAGATACATCCGCAGGCTTACCCCTGTCCCTCCCTCCACCCTCCAGTGATCAAAGTAGGAAGTTTTCATGACAACCGCAGTCAAAGGCCTGCATCGCTGATGAACTCGATTTCAGCAATGTAGATATGGCCAGACTCCATTGTCTCCTTTCAGACGCAGTATGGACCCTTCCGGTCCCAGTCATTACATTATGGATGCGTTTTCCCATATGCAGTTCATTCACACAAAAGGGCTTTCCTTGCTTCACTGCCACCTGATCACAAAGCAAATACACCAGTGGCTACAAACCAGCAAAATAAATGTTTTGCTGATTACGTTACTAGCTCGGATGTTTTACGAACAATTCACTCAAATGATTTTTTTTAGCAGGAAGGATGAAGCAGTTCGATGTTTTTTTGGTGAACGGTTCCCTTGAAAGAACAATAACCATTGCTTTTCCTCTGCCCCCCCCCCCCCCCCCCTTCTCTCCCAATTTTATTCTGTCCCATCCTCTGCTGAACTAGTGATTCACAGTTGTATAGTCACCGGTCACCCTCCGATACCTCGCTCAAGTGGCCATTATTCATGTGTGAGCTCGATAGGCTATTCAACTATGGGGGAAGAAGGAAGAAAGGAGGTGAATCACTACTAAGCCTAATGATGTCCTTTGCTGTAGCCACACATGCGCATTGCCAGCAAAGGGGGTGGGGTGAGGGGGGGGGGAAATGATCAGGTGAGAATTTTCCCCTTCTTAACCGAGAGGTGCAGAGTCTACCTCCATTCTGGCTAGGATTAGTTAAAACAGCGCAGGCCAGGAATAAATCCTGCAACCTTCCCGGGTTTGAATAACTTAACTACACGTTGGAGAAATACACGGAGACAGAGGAGCCGAAAGCATTTTTGGCATTGCCAGCGTGAAATATAGAAAAACTTTTGCATATTCAGCCAGATAATTTGCATTTAAAATTACATCAAAGTAATACAACAGTTGCTGCGGTCAACACAAAATTCTTCAATTGCTTTATAATAACAAGCAACTCTAGGGGGAAAAAAAGGCAGAGAATTAAAACTCTTTATTCAATAGTCAGAATCCTATCACATCAATAAAATCATTTATTGGTGTGAGAAAAGGGGGAGAGCGAAGGGGTAAAAAAAATGCATTGCTCTCTGCCAGAGAGACAGATGTATGAGATACTGTCCTGCAATTTCGGGCTGCCATTGAAATACGAATGAAGAGTCTTCCATTATTAAAATGTGATAGAAGAGTCGCAATCAATTTTCCCCGTCTGCCTAGGACAAAAGTTTCTTATCTTACTAAAAATAAGACTGATGCTCTGCAGAGGTGATAATGATGAAACGCTTGCCTTTTGCTATGTTGAAACATACAGTGTATTTACCTCCCCCAATCGAGTAGCAAAAAGCAGTCAACATTTATTAAACAATTCACATGAACAAATGTAGATTTTCATGAAGAATTTTTTTTGTAAAGAGATAAAGCGTTAAAGGGATGGCTGATAAAATAAATGAATAAACCAGAAAGTCAAAACAGGAAAGCAATTTTTTTATAAAAAAAGGATTTAACAAAAATAAATGGATGCCAGTCAAAAACAAGATTGAGTCTGAAGTTATCCTATCTGCATCTTTAAGTTGAATTGTATATTTAAAACACACATTTAAATTCCTGAAATTAATGTTCACATTTGTGTCGGACTCACATTGAATAGTCAGAATTACAAATTCGACCTCCAGGTCAATTTCAAAAGGAGTTGAAAATGCTGTAGAGATCCTGCCTTTTGTAAGATTTAAAGCTTTGTTTGTTAACAGAATAACAATACGCAGTTTAAATCTGAATTTTATACTTACAAAATTAAGAGGCCATAATTACATTTTGGTTCAAGTCATACCACTTGAATTTTAGCATTTAATCCAAAAAAAAACCTTACTTGTATACTTCATGAACTAGAAATACAGCAAAATACAATGCACTGTTGGGTGGACAACATATTTTGTGGTTAAAATGTGTAATATCTTAAAGCCTAAATCTCTTGGTTCAAAGTAAATGTTCTGATTCCCAAGGATATGGGAATAATGGCTGAGATTTACAGAATTTCACAACTTTCAATAGTCTTCAGCATGCAATTATTCAAATAAAATATAAAGTATATCAACCCGAGAACAGACTTTTGCAAGACGATGTGACACAACATATCGATAGATGCGCTTGCACATGTAAACTTTATTCCTGCAATATTTCAGTTGCTGTAAAGCCTTCGAACAAGACTGAAACACAAAAAGTGAAAACGGGCGAAAGTAAATTAAAGCTATTTACGCCATGAAAAAAAAATCGTATCAAGGCTTTGAAAATACAAGCCCAGTGAGGTCCAAACAAATCAAAAAACATATTGTCCATGGTTTACAAAGTAACTGTCAAATGTCAGTCTTCAGCCCTCGAGCCACCTTTTAATGAAACCCCTGAAGTCATTTTTTTAACTGAAGGTGAACAGCAAAATTCCACAGAGTATACTTGCGACAATTATTCAGCAAGCAAGCTTTAATATTGGTCATAAAGGATCACGGGAGTAGGGCCTTGTAACTCTGTCTAGTCTGGCCCACCACTGTATTAATTTGAAGGGAAAAAAAAACGTGCAGTGGTAAATGACTTTAAAATCCATGCCAAAAATCACATAATATATGATCCGAAGATCATACGCGGAACAATGGGAAACCAATTGGACTCGGCGTCTCTTGGTTAAGGGGGTGGTGGGGCGGGTGGGTGGGTGGGGGGTAAGAAAAGAAAAGATCAAATAGCATTGCTGCCCTCAGCAGTATCCAGTGAGCACTAGTGCAGCGTGGACATGGGTCAGGCTGGAATCATGCTCCACTGCACGGCCTACATGGTCAAATGGCCTACTTAAGCTCACATGAAGAATGAGCACTTTTGTGAAGCACCAGAGAGAGAGAGAGAGAGAGAGAGAGAGTCAGTATCTATGGAACAGTATTTCAGCAAGTCTCATTTCACTCGGGGTGGTGTGGGGGTTGGTGGAGGAGGGGGGGGGAAGGTTTGAATGAAAAAAAAACACATGTACACACAGCTATTTAAAAGACGTTTGGGTCAGATAATAGTAGCAGTTACTGGTTAGAAATTAAATATTATTAAGTGCACCAAAACGGGTAAAATTGGAATGACAACAATTTACATTTATATAATGCCTTTCACGTCAGGAGGGCATCTCAAAAGCGCTTTTAAACAGCTGACTGGCTGGTGCAGGCCGGCAGGCTGGGAAAGAGAAAGGTAACTGAGAGCAAGGCCATCATTCACCCCTTCACTCCCCACTTTTAAAGAAGTTCTTCAACAACAACTTGCATTTATGTAGCATCCCAGAGCGCTTAAACCACACTTTGGCATCTCCCCCCTGCAAAAGCCTGGTGCCCAATCAGCTACGTGAACTACTTTGAGACGTCCCCCTGACATAAACTGCACTATATAAATGTAAATTCTTGTTGCCATTTCAATTATAACTCAGTTTGAGCTCATCTGATAATACTTGATTTCTTTAATTAGTGAACGCTACTACTGTATTATTAAATTATTAAAGAGCTGTCAAGACCATTTAGATTAAAAAAATTAGACAAAATAGCAAAGGCCACATCTTAAAATGATTCCTTGCATTTGATATTGCGCCTTTCACATTAGGAGGACATCTCAGAATGCAAGTTAAATAATAGGAAAAACTCCCATCTCTTTTTGAATAGCCAGGAATCTATAACTGTAATCTTTAATGACAATTTGTTCACTCAATCCACGACTGTTTGTGGAGACGTCGCTGTGCACAATTGGCTGCTGCATTTCACCACAAAATATAGTCGATTCACCTTACAGTATATTCTGTGAAGCGCTTTGAGACGTGTCGAAGACGTGATAAGGCGCTATACCAAATGCAATGATTATTATATTGTTTAATATTCCATTCACCTGAACAGGAAAGTATCTCAGTTTAACATTTTATCTGATGGACAGCATCTCAAATAATGCAGCCACAGCTCCTTCACTGCTGCATTGGACCATCAGTTGAAAGTCCAGCACGAGGCTTGGGCCCCAAATCCTCTTGATTCAGAGGTAAGAGTGCTAGCAAATAAGCCAGACTAACACCTTATAACTAATATAACTACCCCAAGAAAAGTCAAGGTTGTGAGTTGCATCAAGAATGGAGTCCATTGTCGAGTCTGACACTCCAATCCAATCCATTGCAGTGCAGCAAAGCTCAGGCTGTGTAGCATTGACAGAGGTCTCATGCTTTGCTGGCACCTATGGCTGCCACATTTGCCTAAAAAAAGGTTACTACACTCATCAGTAATTAGCTGTGAAGTGGTTTGCAATATTTCATCATG